AAAAAAAAAAAAAAAAGTCACTCATTTATAGTCTATTGAAACCTCTAAAAAAAAAGTGTCTGGTGTGACAAATAAAGATGACTGGAGTGTTCTCTTTTAGTGCTTGCTTTTATTTTTTCTCTGTAGAAGGTTGATCAATTTAAATCTGTAGTGCAGACAAGTTGTGAAAGATGTAATTATTTTTTTCTATAGTATTACGCTGCTGTAAAGTTTAAATGTCATCAAATTAAAGTGAACAAAAAAATCTGAAATACTTTTGAGCGTTAGACAATTTACCTTTTGGCATTTGCTGAAGTAAATGTATGACAACTTGTTCAAAAGAGTCTTTGACATGATGACATTAGTGATGCGAGGACAAATGGAATCTTATAGCAAAAATTCTAATTATAAATAGCTAAGCTGTTTTGGTTGATGGCAATTTGGCGATCAATACAACAGCTAAAGTTTGGTATCAAAGAAAAGATTATTAGCAAAATCAAGTAAAAATTGGCAATTACGCACTGTATTTTTGGACTTTACAACAGCAAAAATCATTAGCAAAAAAACATGGCTACTGCAGTTGCAGCTTACAGTTTGGCTTATATGCAAAAATTGTATTGCCAAACACTGATCGATATGTTGTTGAAAACGGTCTTAAATCTTCTGTTTTGTCTTGTCAAATTAAAAAAAAGTTGAAGCGATGAAGAAAAAAAAAAGTAATCTTTTGAAATTTTTTTGCTGATAAATAGTCTATATAAATAATCGACGGTTTAGTGGAAAGTTTAAACCAACAAAAACATCAGACTAACTGTTTCTGGGGGGGGAGGTGTTCGTTGACCACAAATAGTTTTTACTGTAAATCGTATACCGTAAAAAAATGCTTAGAAGGAAAAAAATTTTTTGAAATTGCTGATAACGCAGTTTTGTTCAATATTTGTACTATAAAATCAACAAGCCAAGTGAAAACTTTAGGTTTTGTTATTTGTTGGGTTTTTTTTGACAAATAGTAATGTTTTGATCCAAAAATTGAAAAATTTATTTTATCAGGTTACAGTTTGTCAGTTGTTGTTCAAAAATAAAATAATTTAATATGGCAAAATATAAAATTTGTTTTTATCTTTTAACAGAGCTTAACAAATGGAAGACTAACAGTATTTTTCTTTGTTATGTTGGAAAAAGAACTTTTTTTTTAGTTTTTTTTTTTTCAATTTTTAAGAATTAAAAAACTAAATTTTCAAAGCTGATTCAAAGCTGATTCAAAGCTGTTAATTTATCTGTAATATAAGTTAAAAAAAAACCAGGCTAGAAAGTGAAATGACAAAATAATCGTTAATATAGGAAGGATTAACTTGAGGTTTTTTTAGTTACAATTATGACTAGAAGCCATAAGAAGCAAAAAAAAAATTAAGTCTATTTTTTTTATTCTAACTTAATAGCAGCATTATAAGCATTAACAAAAATGGTAGTTTTGAGGAGTTATCTGTGCATTCAAAGTGTCATTTGATGGTCAACCAAAAAAAAAACACCGATATGCTTACTTATAATACACCGATATAATGCTTATCGGTTGTCGGTTACTGTTGTTGTTTGATGTTGCCAGAAATTGCTGTTGACGATGACTTCAAATAACTTGAGAAATGTTTGTTGAAACCTGTTAGGTGTTTTGTAATGATTAGGTAATTCCTATTGGCACTGCAATCAAGTCAGTAGTTGTTTTTCAACAAATTTGAATCTGTTTCTTTATTTTTTTTTCTTGTTTCTTCTGTGCTGAAAATGATAAGTGCTGAAAAAAATTGAAGACTAAAGTTAAAGTGTCGTCGTTGTTGTTGTCGTTGTTGTTGTTGGTGTTGTTTCTTTGGCATCTATTCATCCATCAGGTGTACCGTTTTGTTTTCGACGATGCTCAATTTCAAACATTTTGGAGAAGTCAGTCAAACCTTTTATTTTCATCATTGTTTTTTTTTTTCTATGCCACTTTTTTTTGCTATTTTTTTTCTTTATTTTTTCTTTTTTGCTCTTTGTTTCTTTTCACATTTTTCTATTTTTTAATCAACAACTTTTGTTGTTGTTAGTTTGGTGTCTCTAAGTTATAAAAAATGCTGTTGCCTAATTGTTTTGATTAAATGTTCTCAATGAATTTTCTCAGCTCATCATCATCATTTATTATGGGAAAAGCTGTTTTTTCTTTTTTTTGTTTCTTTTTGTTCTTAAATTTTGATGTTTGCTTTTTTTTGATGATGATTTTTAATCATTTTTTATTGTTTGTTCTTTTGTTGTTGTCGTCGTCTTCAAAAACGATGATTATCTATGATTTTTTTTTTTTGTTCTGTTAAGTTATATAAACCAAAATG